TTTTTGTTTAGACGTTTTAGTAGACTTGCTATACCTAGTTTATGTACGCAAACGAGTCCTACGTTTTGGGTCATTTATCACAGGTATTAAAAATTCGTGTGCGCAATCGAGTTGTACATTTGTACGCAAACGAGTCGCAAAAAAGGTTAAATGTACGCAAACGGGTATCGCCCATTCATTTTAATTCTAATACTTATCTAATGTTTTTCGATAATGCCATGCTAAAATATCGATACTAAGTTCTGAAGGCAGTGGCGCCATTTGAGTTTTATAATAGAGGTGCCAAAATTTAAGCAGGCCAATTTTTTTTTCGTCAGGCCACTTTTTTTTTTTATAAAATAGTAAATATAGATATCATATTATCATCGTTTGTGTGCAAGTTACTTGTATGAGGTTAAATTATTGAAGGGTATATTTTAATGAATTAAAATTATTCATTAATAATTTATTTGCCTTTTGGTATGGATCTAAAAATATTTAGTATATGTAGGTACCTACATTTAATCAACACAATTTATTCCAAATAAAATTAATAAATTAATACATTTATTAACATATTATAGTAAATAATACCATACAATATAAATTAATATTTTAAATTAATTATACTATTCTAGCTTATACCTTCTAGTTTTTAGTTTAGAAAATACATCTACTGCTTTGTCTAAATCTATTTTGTTAGCATCTTCTTTTTCTACCGCTATGACCATTAAATCGCTTAATCGTTTGTCACCCATTGAAGATCTAAGATAAGATTTCACTCTTTTGAGTGAAGAAAAAAAATCTTTCATTTGATGCAGTACTCACTGGAAGAGTGTTTATAATTTGAAGTATCTTCAAAGTTTCTGAAAATGCTGCTGGTAGTTTTTTGAGTGTATCAATAATTGAATTTAAATCTGGTTGAATAATATTTTTTTGTTGAAGCAATGATTTTGCAGAAGTAAATTCAGATGGAATTTTTAATACATTAATTTTAAAATATTTATAATGATTTAAAAAAATTTTGTAAATGTAAGCATTCTGAATTGAAATAGTTATTATTATTATAATCAAATATCTGGAATATGTTGAACAGATCTTGGTTTTTTTCAGAAAAACGTAAGTCTATCTGTGTCAGAAACCTGGTAAATAAATATAAAACAATGTAAATCTCTAGTAAATACAAATAATATTATGTAATATCTAATAGTTAGCATTAAAAATCTAGGTATCCAAGTTATAATAAGATTTTCTGAGTGTAGTTTAAATTTTTAAACCAAAGTGCATATATTATAAGAAAAACAATACCTTAGCTAGTCATCTTGTAATTTTCATTTTAAATAATTTAAAAGCTAATTACAATATATTATTTCTAATGTTAAAATTAATAATCTCTAATATTTTTATAAAATATTGATGAGAGAAAGTACTATTATGTACAATATTAATTATTACATTTTAAAATATCAAGATAGCATTCTATAGTAATATTATATTAAATTAATATTTATTTACCTGTCAATAATAGCATAGAAAACTTCGCTTTTTACATTTTGTGTAGTATTTATGTTTTGAGTTTTTCCCAATGTAGAATCCACTAAGTAGTCATCTAAATTTTTATTCAATGTACAATTTCTTTTTAATCTTGTGTTTCTTACTTCATCATTAGCTAATCCATTTTTTTTAGCAAATAATTTTGACTTATCATGAATTCGAAGGAATGTTTCTTCATTACGGAAACCCTGTAGATCTTTTTTTAGTTGATTTGACTAAATGCATAGCATCAGGTAAAAAAATTGAAGTAGATTGTAATTCACATGACAAACAGTTAACGCATTTGAGAATTTTTTTCATAATATTCAATATCATTATAAATTGAAAAGTAGAAATTTCCTCGAGTAATCCACAGGCTCTAGCTGTTTGATCTCCTTGCAAAGTTAAAATAGTCAAAACTTCTTTAATTTCTGAGTATCTCTGTTTTATTTTTTGTAGCGAGGTATACCAATAAGACCATCTGGTTTCTACTAATCTTTCCAAATGTAATACCTTGATTTTTTTATCCTTTTGAATTTTAGTAAACAACTCATATCTGGTTTGGCTATTCATTAAATATGTATAAATACCTTGAATAGTATCAAAAAAGTTTACCACAGATCTTATGTCTTGAATTGAATTTAACAAACATAGGTTAAGCCGATGTGCATAACAATGTATAAATATAGCTTGTGGAACAATGTCTGCTATTCTCTTTTGTACACCTGTAAAAGATCCACTCATCACTGATGCACCATCGTAGCACTGGGCTACACATCTATTTATGTCTAATTTATTTTCCGAAACAATTTTTAATATAGCTTTACTTAATGAATCTGCGTCACATTTTTCCATATGATAGCAGCCAAGAGCTTTTTCTTGAATATTATAGTTTTTATCAATAAATCTGATCAAGAAACTCAGTTGCTCTTTTTTACTCGCATCTTTTGTTTCATCAACTAAGATACTAAATGCAGAAAACTCAGACATGTTATTTAAAATTATATTTTTTGTAGATGAAGCAATAACACTTATTAAATCATTTTGGTATTCGTGGGATGTATAATGACCGTACCTTGATTGCATTTTTAATATTGTGTTCTTGTCTCCAAATGTCTCTAATAGTTCAATGAAATTACCTCTGTTTAAGGACTCTCTTTCTTCATTATGGCCACGGAATGCAAGTCCTTGCTTTGCAAGATACAGAGTAGCTTTTAATAAGAAAAAAACATGATTACGGTTTTCTTTAATATTTTGTAGTCTTGAGTGAGTTAATAAATTAGCAATACAGCTATCATTTTGTTTAGTACTCAAATAAAGTGTCCATTTTTCAATGCTGGACTTGTGTCTATCACTTTCATTATGAATCTTCAAACACACAGATTGTTTTTTCCAACCATTAAATCCTCGATTGATGAATACATAGTTACCACTATATTGGCCACGAATACATTTATTTGTTGAAAAATGTCTACATGCAAAACAATACACTGCATCATTTAACACAGAATATTCAATCCAGTTATATAATTTATAGTAATTTGCATTAAAAGATCTATTATCTGGATTTCTTGGAAACAAATTTAACATAGGTTGCTGCGGAGTATGATTTTTATTCAGAGAAATATCAATTACCTATAAATCAAAATTAAAAAAAAAATAATTACTCACTTAAATTAAAAATAAATAAGTAAGACATCAAGTCTTAATGATTAATTGATAACATTTAAGTTGGAATGATTACAGTTTGAATATTATGTACTTAGTATAAGGAAATGCAAGTTTGCATTTAAATTTCTGGTATACAGATCAATTATTATGTAACGAATAGGGCTTGGAACTTAATGCACTTAAAAAGTACTAAATATGCATGCACTAATGTCTAATGTCCTATTAATAGCAAAAATAAGCTTTAAAAAAGTAAAGTAAAAAGTATAAAGCTTTAGTTTTTTTTTTTTTACTTACAATGTTATAAAATCAAATATTTTATAATTTTTAATAAATATTCATTAATAAAAATGGAAATTTGTATGTCAACTAAGTATTTGAAAACACAATACAATAATAACTAGGTAGTAAAAA